AGAGTGGCCTTTCGGAAAACATCGGTACAAGCGCCAGCTTGGACGACCTAGCAGCGCCGATTAATGTTGATTTATGTATTAATTGGCTGACGCGTTGCCAACGTAACGGGTCACGCGTGTCCCTTTGAGTTCGTCGTGCTGCGTGTTGATCATTTCGGGCTCGCGTTAGCTCGTAAAATCAACCGAACGGACGACAAACAGTCGCTCCGATTGATTCTCGCTTCGAAAGTTCGATCGAGCATCGCGTAGACACACATTAGATGTATATGTAGGTATATTCGAAAAATCCAAATTACAAGGCGAATTATAGTAGCAGTTGCATCAACAGTGCGTGTTAAGCAAATTGAGATCTTTTACGGGCTGTTTTTTTGAGCCTAGTCAACAATTTTTCATTTCGAATTCAGAAATATTCCATTCGAACGCGTGTTAGTAAGGAAAAGATCCTTTCTCTTTCATACTATATACGTTTTCATGTTTAGTATTGCAAGTATGATGTTGAACATTTACCACTGTTGATAGAATAAATCACGTCACAGTGTATACACAACGATAAATGTCGATAATATGATAAACTTCAGATTCTCCTTTTTTCAAACAGATATTTTCGTCAGGATTAATATTGATTTCTGCTTAGACAGATACACAGCTGCATAAATTATCATTTTTTGAACGATTGAATAGTTGCTTGAATGTTAATATTATAATACAGAAATAACGAAATTGTTACACTTAATTTTACGATAGAATATAGAGCAAGAAATAGTAGATAGAATTCTAGATTGTGGGAAAAATGAAAAGATCACGATATCAGGAGCTAATCTCTGAAAATTCGAAGATGCGACACAGAAAGATACTTTCACCGCAGGAAACTGTGTGCTCGACACAGTGATCGCATTTATTAGACGACGTACGTGCCGACCTTTAATTAGCTATCGCTCGTTGTTCCCTGGCGTCGAATTTATCGCGTTAACGAAGACCCACGGAGTAAACGGGCCGTGAGAATCCATCATTTCCTCCCTCTTGATCATCCCTTTAATACCCGTTTGTGATTTATGAATAATGGATGTCGTTAATCGGCCAACACCGAAACTTCTGTTCCTCGACTGTCCTCTGTTCGTTTTTCTTCCTTCATTTTCCATCGTTTCATCGCTGCATCAACACGAAAGAACACGCAACGACACTCTGTGTGTCATAGAACAGAATATTTCCTTCGAAATCTCCGAATAGTATCGTTAGGTTGTAGATGACTATATTAAAACTTACAATTAGTATTAATTTTGTATTTCGTTTCGTTGTATCTACATGAAGATATATGGGATATTTATTCCTTAAATAATTGTTAATTGTTAAATTATAGATAATTATACCTATTAAATAATAGATTTGATTAGTAATATTTAGTTTGCATTTTATACAATATGATTGTAAAATTCCACATAGAAATAACGCGAGGCTAGTTTATATAATTAGATTAATCAAAAGTCAGTAATTACAAGTGTCACGAGAGTTCACGGATAAAATTCGCGGTAAGCCACGCGGAACGCGAAACAAGGTTCGTTATTGAATGGCAACGAAGATCGGTCGTAGCGTCGGTGAGTAAAAGAAATACAAATCCACGATGAAGGAACGTCTTTCTTGCAGATCCTGGTAGAATACGACGACGTCGAGTGGCAAAGAAGAGAATGGCTATCGCCGCACAGGGACGCAGTGTTTTCGTTCTTCTTGGTGGAAAAGGGTCTGTGCTGGGCCGAACGACCTGACCCCAGGCATGCCAGCCTCATCGCCATCGATCACCACAATCACGCGAATAATAACCACCACCATCATCGTATCAACGGGAAACCGCTGAGGGGTGCTACCGCTGTCGCGAATAC